CACGTCGTCCTCCTGCCCGACGGCTCGAGGATTACAGTAATTTTGATATCGAGTAGTATTTTAACGTAATAATCGACTAGACCTTATTCGATCCCCGGAAGAATTTTTCGAACCCTGTGTATAAACAAATAGCATTGTTTAAGCTTAAGAAAGGTTACAGAGAAAACTAAGATGATTCCAAAGGTCACTGAGGACACCTTGGCCGGCACGTGGGAGGGAGATGCTGGTGGTGGTGGCCGGGGTGGGGCCTGACACAGGACACAAGGCACACTTGGACAGTGGTGACAGACGGACCAGTCCCTGAGACGCCGGCTCCCCCCCTCAGCACACAAGGACGCCACGACTAGGAAAATAGAGTACAAAAATCTGGTTCCGGAAATAGAGGCGCGCCGGCAGCACCGCCCGAGTCCTCGGCCGCTTCTCTCCACAAGCCCTGCTCCCGGGAAGCCCCTCCCGGCCGCTCGGCTGCTGGGCAGGGAGCCGCGTTTCTTTCAGGCCCTTCCTTTAGAACAGGGAGACCAGACAGTCCCCTGAGGACCCCGCACACACCTCAGCCCTGCCGGGGCAGAAGCCGCCTCCCTGTGCAGACTGAGCGGGGGACGCACAGGGGAGAGGGAGCCAGGCACAGGCCAGGGCCAGTGCTGCCCAGGTGACCTCTGGGTCCCAGGCACCTCTGGGTCTGGTGGCCACGTGTGTGTGCGTGTGCGTGTGTGCATGTGTGCAGGCGGGTGGACATGACTAGGTGCGTGCATGCGTACACCTGAGGTACCTAACAAAGCGGAAGCTGCCCGGGGGGTGGGGGGTGGCCTGGTCTGCCCCAGGAGCCCAGCCCAGGCTCCTGACACCCTCAGGGTGCAAAGGCCCTTCCCCGCCCCCTGCCCCTGGGTGCTCACCCGCGTCCTGCCTCATGGCTCTCTCTGTCCAGGCTTCAGGAGCCTACGTGGACCGACAGACAGATGGACAGATGAATGGAGAGCCACGCCTTCCTTCCTTCCTCAGTCCACTCCTTCCTCCTGGGGCCTGGGGTGGGGTTTGAGCTGCCCACGTGGTCAGTAAGCCCCGCACACGGCGCCCGCCGGGTTTGCAGCAACGACATTTAATACTTCTGGAATGATCAGGAATCGGAGAACAGACCACGGTGGCTACGCTGGGCTCCAGGGCTGGGAGCTGGGCCCGCCTCCCCACGGGGGTCCCTGCCCAGCTGGGAGGGGCGGGCGGCGAGGTGGGCCCTGACCGGCAGGCGGGGGAGGCGGCAGCCCCGGAGGCTGCGGGAGCTTCCCGAATGGCACAGCAGTGACCCACCAAGAGGCTAGAGAGGACCGGAGGGCTGACGCACGTGGCTGGGCGGCAGGCAGGCCAAGGACAGAGGGCACCGGGCCTACGAGAGGCCGGGGCGGGCCGGCCGCCGGCAGGGGGGCCCGTAGCCGCCGTCGCTCTGCAGGCTGTAGTGGTCATCCACGTCACTGCTGCTGCCGACGCTATCCAGCTCGCCGGGGCCAAACTCCATGCCCTCCACGTCCACTTCTGGGGAAGCAGAGAGGACGGGGTTGGGCCCTGAGGGTGCCAGCTGGGCTCCTGGCAAAGTCAAGGCAGGTCTCTGCCTTTGAGGGGAATAAAGGCTCCAGGGGGTGCAGGAGAGACGGGCTGCAGGTCTGGGCCTCAGCCCCGGAGCACACGGCCTCTGTGGGCAGGTCACCCTCCCCCCTCCTCCCATCACTTCTGCACTGCACGCCAGGTGTTCAGACAGCCTGGGGACACGCTGTCACCGGGGCACCTGCCGCCCACTGCCATCACCCCCACTCCCTCAGGCTGCCTCCTGGCCAGCCCCTCCTCCCAGCTCCCTCCCACTCCCACCCCAGCCTGGGGCTGCAGGCGGCCTGTGCCCACCTTGCTCCGAGTCGTCCGTGGAGACAGCGGAGCCTGTGCTGTCTGTGCGCACGCGCTCCAGGCTCTGCACCGACAGCTGCTCCAGGCGCCGCTTCAGGAAGCGGTGTTGTCGCTGCAGCTGCTCCTTGATGCTCAGCGCCCTGCGGTCCTGCTCCTCCAGTTTCTGGAGGCAGGGGGGGCTGTGAGCCTGGGGACCTCCTGCCCCATGCTGGGGCCCGGCATGGGGGGCACGGGAGGCCCGGGCAGGCTCCCCGTC